CGCCATCTCCTTCGGCTTTGGCCTTTCAGGCCTTTGCGCAGCAGGAGGACATTGCGTCTGTTTTTCAGTGCCCGCCTTGTCAAGACTGGACCAACAGCAACAGAGCTAGCCTTGGCCCTGGCCCTGCGCCTTTGACCCCAAGAAGACGTAGCGCGTTCTGTGAGGGCACTGCGTAGCGACTTCCTGCAATTGCGCTGTGACCTTGAGAACTTGCGTCTTGTTGTTGAGTCTTTGGCTTTAGACAGGCTTGTGCTTCAGAGGTTGCCCACTCACTTCGATAATATTCAGACGCAGGTTGCCTTTTTGCACGGTCGTCTGACTGCGGTTGAGCATCAGGTCGGTTCCCTGCAGTCTTCCCTTGACGCGTTGGATTAGCCTAGGCGGTCATCTCCTCAGAGCGTTTGCGTTTGTCTTTGCCTGAGTCAGCATTGCCAGTGGCTACCCCAGAGACGCCCTTTACGCCCCCCAAGGGTCAAGAGTTACAAGAACAGGTCTTTTGCATTGAAGGTAGCGCCGCAGGACTTGTCTCAGGCTTTGAGCGTTTCTGCAGGGGACCCAAGTTTGGACACCGAGAGCAGTCAGGTTTAGACAGCGCAGGCGGAGGCGTTGACACAGGAGTCTGCATCCCTAACCCCTGCAGCGCCCGTGCTGCCCCTAACCCCTCCCGGCCCCTCAGTCTCCATTGGTTGAGGCTTCCGCTGATCAGGCGCAGCAGCATTCGCCTCAACATGTCTCGGTCGCTTCGTCAGTGACTCTGGCCACTCCCAAGTCAGGCCGCTTCTCGGGCACTCACTCGTGGTCCGTGGTCTCGCCCACTTCCTGCAATCTGTTTGGGCCTCAAAGCAAGTACGGCATGCCTTTGCCCAGCCCAGCTCACTTGCAAGCAAAAGTGAAGAAGGAAAGGCAGGAGCTCAGGTACCGTGAGCCGGCCTATTCGCAGGAACTGGCAAGGGAGCGACAGGAGGCCTGTGGGCAGGAGGTCTAGGCTCCCGAGCAACACAGGTTCAGGCTGTGAAGCCATTTTGGCTCTGGGCAAGCATCAGGATACAGATGAGGACTTGGATGCCGCTACCATAGCACTGCAAGGTAGAGCCAAAGACGGTCCAACGCCCGAAGCCAGTCCGCGGCCCAGAAACCGTAAATGCCACGGCCCTGAAAAGTAAAGCGCGTGCCGCGTGGTCTTAGTACGATAAGCAACGCCTCGGACTACATGGCAGGAGACATCGTAAATGAGAGTCGACCAACGAATATGGCTGGCGTCACTGAACCGAAGGCTGGCCCACACCAAGGCCAAGGCCGAGCCTGCAAAGGCTACCGTAACCGGCTCTGACCCTGGATCCAAAACCAAAGCCTCCGAAAAGGCAACAAGGTCAAGGGGTAAAGCCAGAGCCTCCTTACGATCTGACGTTGGACCCAAAGCCAAAGCCCTGAAGAGGCCAGAGCAGGTGTCCGGGAACCGTAGCAAGGACACCTTGGACAACCAGCGCAATGCCTTGAGTGTGTTCATAGGATGAACAGTCTTCTGGCCTTTCCCTTGACCCAGACAGTCTTTTCTTCGCATCGGATGCGCCTGGCTTTGGCGCCGGCTCTCTGGACCTGGCTTTTGCTCCCGCTTCCTATGCCTCTGCCCTTCGCTCCTTGCGTCAGGCTTTGGCCTTGTGGGGTTTGCTCTGCTCTGATGCCGTCAATAACTACACGTTGCACTCGGCCAAAGGCAACGGCTTTGTCGTGGGCGTCCCAGCTCGGTGTGCAGGAGCTTTGCAGGGGAGCAAGGACACCGCCGTGCGAGCTCGATGTCGCTCTATGGGCGGGACGAGACGCATTCGGCCTTGGCACTTCACAGCTCCCTGTTGTCAAACCGCCCTTGCAAGATAGAAACCACTTTGCATCTTCTTGACTTCCAAGAAGACCGTGCGCAAAGCCTCCCAGGTCAGCTTTAAAGGCACCAGCTACAAGGCAGCCTGTGGTGCCTTTGTCCTTTCAGGTTGGACGGTCTTGTCTTGCAGCACCGACAGCCTTTACGAGGATGGGACTGACTCTGGCTTGTGCTCCAGAGTTGCCTGTGCCTTGCCAAAGCTCGGCCATCTCGATGATTGGGCCATCAATGACCCAGGCGCCGGGCCGCCTGACACCGCTTCGGGCACAGGCCCTGGCTCAGCTGACCCTGCACTTGTCGAATGCCAAGGATGGATCCTAGAGGCAGCGGGCATGGACAATGTCTTTGGCTTTTCCAGTGGCGACTGGCTGGTCCACTGGTTCGCCGAAGACAGCCGCGAGGTGGTTCGCCGCTTGGTCCGCTTTGCAGTGGAGGCCGGCAATGGCTTTAGCCCAGCTTCCTGGCTGAAGCTTTGGAGGCGGATGTGCCTGGTCCTCCTGCATCCAACCCTCCGGGGGACGCCCAGCCAAATCAACGAAGTGATCGTGGTTCAGCAGATTTATTGCCGCAGCCCTTGCACGATGTGTGGCTCTGGCCATTGCGGGCTTTGTCTTATTAGGGCGGACTTTCCGCGCGTGCATAGGTGCAGCTCCTGCTATAACAAATGGCAGCGGGGCGAAGCCTAGGCTTTGACTTTGGCCCTGGCCTGCTGTATCTATGACCAAAGTTTTTCTTTGGCTTTACAGTTTTTTCTTTGGCTTTGCATGGCTTTAGCCAACTTTCTGTGGCTGTCGCCTGAGCCCTGGAATGGCCAGCTTTGGCCCTGTACATGTAGCTCCTGCGCGTGGCAAACCTTTTGGTCCCTGCCGCCCTTCTCGCTTGGAGCCTTTGAGCAGATCCCAGAGTGAGAGTGAATGCTGAGCCAGCCTACGTATCCTTTGTGCATGCTGTTTTCTGGTCTACTTTGTGTGCATGCTCACCTCTCTCTGGCCCAGGTCTTGGCTTCGCTTGCTGCTCACATCTCAGGGTGCATGCTTTGCATGGCTTTGGCTTTGTGACTGCAAGGGTTTGCGAGTAAGCTTCTTATTATCCCCATATAATACCCAACCACCTACTTGTATCACTTTGCCTCAGCTGCTGCGTGCATAGGCTCTGATCAGTTGTGCTGTCCTGTGGCAAGTACTGTTGCCTTGATATGTGCGCATGCTTGACAATTGTTTAGTGCACTTGGCTTTGCCATGCCTCAGGTCAACGTGGATGCCCCAGACGCGGGTCCTGCGCCTGCACCGGTCCCCGTGGCCTTGCCTTGCCTGACCGACCTCACCTGGTCTCTGCATGACGCGTTGCAGCTTCAAGTGCCCTCTGACCTGTTGGATCACCCAGAGCTGAACAGATCCATTCAGAGCTTTGGCCTTGCTGCCACCACTTTTTCTCAGTTTGACGCTTGGCTGACTGACTTAGGCTTTATAGGAGAGCCCTCAAATGTGTTGGCAGACCTCAGGTGGCTTCGGCATAGGGCACACAACATGACTTGTAACGTGCCTTTGCCCTCTGCGCCTGGCTTTCCTCCGCCTGCTCCGGCCCCATCAGCTGCAGGGCCGCCAGGGCAGTCATCACAGCCCTTGTCAGAGCCTGCGTCGTCATGGCAAGAGACGTTTCCAGCCAAGTCCCCTGAGAAAACGTTGGCCTTGAAACAGGATTTCCTCAGGAAGTACCCTTCAGAGGTTCTTGATGACTCTTCCATGCCATCGCCCAGGCTTTTAGCTTTGGCCTTCAAACAGGCTTCGGGCGCAAAGGGGAAGTTCATACCCTGGAAGTGGAGACTCTCAGTTGCAGAGCTGGAAGACATGCGCATCAACCGTCCGCGCAAGGTGCCCAGGCTGGAATATATTGGCAGACCTTTTGTTGGACGAGGTCCCTGCTCGCTCCGTGCCAGACACTCTGGGCATTTGGCCTTAGCAAGCTTTTGCGGCTCCACAGCGTTGCCATGTTCATGGTGGCAGACGTGCATTTGGCCACCCTTAAAGCATATGAAGCTCGTTTCCTCAGGCTGGCCTCGGCCCGCTTTGAGTCTGGCTCTGGTCTTCGTGCCCCTAAGAATGCGAGCAAGCCGACAAGCGTTTCTGGGAATCTGTCTCGGAACTTCGTGTGCAGGGATGGTGTGTTGATGATGCAATTCACGAGCGCACAGCTGTCCGCAGTGACTGGCCGCCTTACTGTCTCCCCGGCCCTTTGTTCCCAAGGCTGGCAAGAGGCTTAGATTCCAAAGGCTCACCCTCAAGCAAAGGCAGACAGGCTTTTTCGACCTCAGGCAGGGGCAATGGCAAAGGTCGAGGAGGAACAAAAGGGCGTGGCTCCGGCCGTGGCCGTGGCGCCCCATCCCAAAAACCCCTCTTGCAGGTTCGCTCATTGTGCCCACCAGTGAACTTGCCGAGCGGCCGCATTTGCTTAGGCACTCACCCAGCATGGCAGCGTCAGGACACGCCCCATTGAGGGGGACCGGGCTTGGCTTTGGCACAGGCAGTTGAGTCCGGTCTGTCCTTGCCTGTCCCAGACATTCGGCCAGATTGTCTGCAAGCTGCCGCTCCAGAATCAGCTGTTGACTCCGGGCTCCGCTTGGCGGAACCACCTGTTTCCTCTCATAGCAACCCAGCTTCGAGCCAGCCTCAGCTTTGTCCAGCACAGTCCTCTAGTCTGGATTCACTCCCTCAAGGAGAAGACCCATCACCACCTGGTCAGCCTTCCAATGACACTGCCCTTTCGCCTGCGCGCAAGCAGTTCTTTCGCCCTACTGAGTCGCGGCCTTCTCAAGGGATGGCTTCTGACACTTTAGGCTCGCCTTTTGCTCTGCCTGCTCGCATGCCTCCATCTTCTTCGGCTTGGATATCTGCGCAGGAGCAGGAGCACCCTTGTCCACAGCGCTGCAGCATCTGGGGGTCTCCACCTTAGCAATCGACCCCCTCCTTGACTCAGTCATGGATTTGCGTGACGATGGCTTTTTCGACCATCTCCTCCGCAAAAGCGCCAGCAAATCAGTGGCTTTGGCGCACGCTGCCCCTCCCTGCGGAGAGTACACCCGTGCAAAACTCCTCCCTAACGGGTCAAGGCACTTCGCACTCCTAAGGCTTTGGACGGCCTCCCTGGCCTTTGCCCTGGCAACGCCCTCAAAGTGCAAGAAAGTCACCTGTTGTTCATCCGTTGCGTTCAGCTGCTTTTTGTGACTTTCTCTTCAGGCGGACAAGTCTCGCTCGAGCAAACCACGAACAGTATGGCATGGCTCGAGCCCTTGGCCTCACATTTCCTTCGCGAGATCCAGGCTGACCTTATTAACATTGCTGCCTGCTCCGTGGGACTCGACATGCATAAATCATGGATTTTTGCAACATGCTTCAGGCCATTGCAAGCTTTGGCTTCAGTGTGCGAGCACCCTCACGGCAGCCACGAGGATATCAGAGGCTCTAGGGATGCAGACGGTGGCTTCCGCAGCAGGGCATCAGCAGAATATCCTCAAGCCCTGGCTTTGCGTTATGCTGAACAGACCAGATGCCTTTTCCCAGCCTCCTCCGGCACAGGCACACCCATGTCTAGTCAGCGCCATTGCTTTCTCGCCTGAAAGGCCCATCCGAGCCACCTGTGTCTGTTCAAGACGGCGCTGGCATCTTTTCAGTTCCTGACTGGAGCATCCCTCCTCGTCGTGATGCAACAGATGTCTTTGGCTCTCTTCGTCCGCAGCTTTTGGGTTTTCTCTTGCAAAACAAACATCCATTGCGTCTGCGCTACTGTGTGAGTCACAGTCACCAGACTCTCTCTTCGAGGCTTCGGAGATCACGTCTCTGCGTGGCATTTTCGAGCACTGGCTTTCTGCACAGGCCAAGCCAACGCAAGTTTCATGGCACATTGCCGAAGGCCAACCCTACTGCCTTGAGGCTTTGCAACTTGTCTCGGCCATTTGCTCGGGCCGGGACACCACGTTGTTTCCATGCCCGCTCTCTGGTGTCCCAGCTGGCTTTGACGCTGATATACCGCTCTCCAACGTGTTAGTGCCCCCAGGCACTGGACACCCTTTTGCCCAGGAAGTGGCCATTTGCCACAGCAATTGGAGTAGCGCAGAAGCCGACCCAGTCACACTCCATCAGCTGGTAGAGGAAGAGCTCAGCAAGGGCTGGCTGTTCGAGGTCGATTCTTTGGCCTCGGCGCAGGAGCGCTTTGGCAGTAAACTTGCCATCGGCAAGATGTCCATAGTCAACGCTCCTGGCAAAAAACCACGCCTTGTCGTTGACTCAACCACAAACCCCTCGTGCGTCATACCAGAGACGTTCTCCTTGCCCACATTGATGACGTGCGCGAGTGCTTTCTTCTGAGGATGCACGCGGGCAAGTTGGCCGGCTTTGCTTTGGACGTTAAGTCGGCCCACAAAACCGTGCGAGTTCGACCCTCTGACCAGGGCCTCCTGGGCGTTACCTTGCCAGCCAGTGACGGCTCCGGCCCTAGGTACCTGTTCTATCAGGTCTGCCCCTTTGGAGCGAACTTTTTCGTTAGAGTCCTGCGCCTTTGGCTTTGGCTTCGACACGCCCTGCTAGGCTACGTCGATGACTTCTTGCTCCTGCAGGATGAGGAAGTCATAGCCTTGTTCGCCTGCCTTGTCCTTGCCTTTTGTGCAATGTTTGGCATTCCAGTGTCGCGCTCAAAGCTTCAACTTGGCAGAGGCATAGTCTGGATAGGGTGGCGCTTTGGCTTTGGGAGTGGTGCCTTTTGCGTGCCTTTGGAGAAGTCTGTCAAGCTCAAGCGTCTTCTTCAGGAGGCGCTCTCCGGACGCCACGTGCATCGCAGGACCTTGGACAAGATCCTAGGCTTGTTGCTGGCTGTGCAAACTTTTCCGTACCTTCAAGCCTTGGTTGCAGCCCATCTACGCAGATGCCAACAGGCCGTTGGTCACCAATCACAGCATCGCACCAGAAAATGGCCTTGTTTCTACACGAGGCTTTGACATTTGTGGCTACGCCCCCAGGCTGTCCACCAAACACGACTTGGCCAAGGTACCCACCTCGAAGAGGATCTGGATGCGTATTGCTGATCCCTCCACCACGCGCCGAAAGCGCAGTGCTTCAAGCAAGGAGAGCCTCGCCTTTTGGCTTCAGTGGTGCGATTTGCCTCCGCTGTACTTCCCACTTCAAAAACCTCCTCTAGCACCTGTCGTTTTGGCTGCCGCCGATGCACGTGCGGATGGGGATTTGATCGGTGTAGGAGGGTTCATTCAGTGGCAAGAGGGTCCCTGCGCGTGGTTTAGCGAGACTTGGACTTTAGATGACCTGGCTGTCCTTGGTCTGCCTTTGCAGCGCCCCGCGCACCGTGACATCACGTGTTATGAGGCCCTGGCCCAGCTAGGCCTTATCCACTGCCTTCGCTCGCCTCCGCACTCTCTCAGACAATACTGGCGCAGAAACAGGCATCAACAAGCTTTATACTTCTCACTTCCCTCTCTCGGCATTCCTTAAAAAGCTTTGCGTGTTGGCTTGCCTTACAGGGATCGAGCTTGATGTCAGCCACGTACCAGGAGAGAAGAATGACGATGCGGATCTGCTCTCTCGCTGGGATGACCCAACTAAGCCATTGCCAGACAAATTCCAGGCTGACTTTCGCGTGGACCGCATTTGGTTTTTCAGATCAGATGTGCGCCTTTTTCCACCCAACACCTTCCTGAAATGGAAGCTTCCGTGACTTCCTGCCCAGTCTGGACTTTGGCTTCTTCCTGCCTGCGGCCTTTTTGCCGCACTCGTCTGCCACCAGCACTTGCCTGCAGCAGAGCTTGCCGTTGGANNGTTGGACTTGGCATAGTCAAGCTCACGTGTTAAATTGGGTGAGAGGCCGGGACTTTGCCAGTTATAAAATTGGTGGTATTCTAGCTTGAGTAGGTGCAGCGGGTTGCGTAGCGTTGCTTCTGTAGCTTTGGCTTTAGCTTACCTACTCTGCTTTACCGGCAAAGTCAAAAAGTCTAGCGTGCTGTCAGGGCTGCCTAGTGTTTGCTGCTTTAGCTTTTACCTGTAGCTGTGGTTGTGTGTGGCTTACAAAGTAACGAACGGTACATGTGTTTACTCATTGGTGTTTGTACTTTGGAGCCATGTCACATACCGCTTTATGGTTCAAGCCACACACAAACATTTGAGCGTGCTTCAATTTTTCACCCGGCCTCCACTCCCTTTGATGTCTTTGATGTACGTCTTTGACTTAGGACTGCGCTGGTTAGCTTAGACTTGTCCTTGGGAGTCTGGGAGGTGTTTTCCTTCTAGTAAGGAACATTGTTCGAGCTTAGATTGCGCTTAGTGCAGTGCTTTGTCTTGTTGCATCCTCCGCAGCTGGTCCGTGTGTGGCGTTTCTACCGCTTCATGTCTCTTTACAGCTTCGGCCTTTGCTTCTCTTTGCAGTGGAGGATGCAACTGAGCCCAGTGGGCATTAGCTTTCAGCTTCGCTCAGCCTTAGTTTGTGCTTGGTGTAGAGCTTCCGCTTCTGGCATCCCCCACTGCTGGACCGTGTGTGGCATTATGAATGCGTTATATTTTTTTATAGCCTGGTTTCTGTTTTGCTTTGCAGTGGGGGATGCCTTTCGAGCCCACAGGGCATTGGCTTCGAGCTTGGCGTAGCAGTTCGCGTAGCTTGCAGTTACTCAACCTGTTGCAACCTACACGCTGGCCTTTTTCAGCTTTTCCTAGCTGTAGCTTTCCTAGCTTTTGCTTTTTGGGGTAGGTCGTATTCTAGCTTGAGTAGGTGCAGCGGGTTGCGTAGCGTTGATTCTGTAGTTTGGCTTTAGCTTACCTACTCTGAGCTGCTTTACCGGCAAAGTCAAAAAGTCTAGCGTGCTGTCAGGGCTGCGTAGTGTTTGCTGCTTTAGCTTTTACCTGTAGCTGTGGTTGTGTGTGGCTTACAAAGTAACGAACAAGCAAATCCTCGTCCCCCTGAGCCTCCTCGGCCCACGTGAAAGCTGACTTCAGCGGCTCCCAGAGAGTGCCATAAGATGTGTCAGCTCCTCGATCCAGCCAAGCTCGCGCGCAAACTTTGCAAAGACTTCCCGCTGCGTGGAGAAAGAGGTGATGATCTCGCGACCTCGGGCTCATCTGGCTGACTTCTCTC